AATTGTTGTTTCTTATAGTTTTAGAGGCTAGAAATCCAAAATCCTACAGGGCCTTGAGGGTGCTCTAAGGGAGAATCTTTCCTTATCTCTTCCAGCTCCCAATGCTCATTGGTGTTCCTTGATTTGTGACCCATCACTCTAATCTCTGCTTTCATAGTCACATCATTTACTCCTCTTCTGCTGCCAGATCTCTCTTACAAGGGCATTTGTTATAGGATTAAGGGCTCATATGGATAATTCAGGACAAACGCCTCTCAAAATACTTAGGTTAATCACATCTTTTGCAATATAACATAATATCCATTCTTTTATCACGTAAGGCAATATCTACAGGTTCCGGAGTTTAGGACGTGGACATGTGGATGTGGACACCACCATTCATCCATTACAGGCACGGAGTGTGGACTGAGAAGAGAAGCAGTCCCAAGATTGAGCTGTAGGACTCTACAGTCTTCAGAGGCCAGGAAGAGAACTCAGAGCTAGTGAAGGATACTGAAAGAAGGCAGTGAGGTGTAAGAGGAGCAGGGCAGGCAGCTTGTGGTGTCTGGTGAGGAACTGTTTCAGTAAAGAGGAGATGATTAGCTGTGTGGAAAGTTGCTGAGTGGTGCAGAAAACAAGGACCAAGCCTTGATCATTAGACTTTGAAGGACACAAGTTATTGGTGAACTTGCCAAAACTATGATCAGAGTGTGGCATAATTGCATTCTTTGTTCTCAGTGACGAATCCAACTTCCATCAGAATATTATAATCCTGTTTTAACTGTAGGATCAGTGGTTGGCCAAGCACATCAAATGTAAAAAGTTATTTTGTAATTTCTTTTTCTTCTTTTCTCTTGTTGGAAGTTCTACATGGGAGTATGTTGTGTAAACAATGTTGCTTCTTCAAACAAACTGTTATATGCTCATGGTAGAAATTTTTCATATTATAATAAAAAAATTAAAGTGGGTTATTTAATTTTAAATTTCATCTGAAGTGCAGCCAGTTTCTTTAGGACATTTTTGTTTCATTGCTCACTTTTTTCATTTGCTCTGAGGTTGTTTTGTAAATTTATTCACTGAATTAAATATGATCGCCCAGGAGTAGGTAAAGGACAATGTTGCCAACAATATGTCACCTATGACTTCAGGTTGACTTTTGGATTTTTGTGCTTATGGAAGTGTCTGGGCAGGTGACCTCCACCAAAGCTGCCCAGTTATTGAGAAGGAGACCTCCCCAGATAAAAGGGGAGCTGTGCTGGTGATAAGAATACAGTCAGATCCATTCCCCTTGCAGAAGATCCAAAAAACACACCTTCAAAAACCGGTGTTCTCAACTTGTCTCGTGTTTCCATGACACGTTCTTCTGGAAGAATCCTTACTCCAACAAGGGAAGATACGAGGGAAGTAGTAAAAATTCTTTAAATTTTAGAAAACTAATCATGGAATTAGGGAAATCTTAATATCATATTGGTATTTTGCTTTTTTATATGTCTGCCTTAACTTTATGAGAGATCAGACTAAGAGAGTGCAATTCTAAATTGGAACAAGTTTGGAGGGAAAATCATCAGATGCACCTCAGTCTCAAGCAGGTAAGTTGAGATCAAGATGAGGAACATGGGGGTAGCATTGAGTGTGACATCTCATGTGACTGACTCTTTGAGTAGATTCAGGGATAAAATCCTCCCAAGATCTTCTCTAGATCTCTAAATTAGCACCATACGATTGTGATAATAGACTGACCAGATGTTTCTCTTTTTGATTTTAAGCAGTTATCTCTGAAGGAAAGGCCCACTGAATTTATTCACTACCAGTATTTCCTCTTGAATATTTGGCGAAGCCATATCTATTTCCTAGCATTTAGATTGCTTAAATATTACGTGCAAGTCAATATTAGAAAATATGGACCTCATAAAGAAGCCAAATTAATTATAGGCATTTAAGACCAAGTATTCGTAGGGAGATTATTTTGTTCTAGAATATTTTTAGGGAGTTGAGTAAAAGCAGATGTTCTTATCTTATGGTTCTGAAACTCAAAATCCAAACTACTGACATAAACTGAGATCAGTACTCTTATCACACTTTGTTATTTTGCTTTGCCAAAAGTGCAGATGAGAAGAAGGTCTTGAAAGTGGAAATAAGGGAACTTGTTTTATATAAGCCAAATCACTGGTTAATATGTGCTATTAAAGGCTGAGAATGAGTTTTAGAATTTAAAGTTCATATTTATCTTCCAATCAAACCAAGGTTATTGCAAATACCATATGGTTTTAGAAGACATATTTGGTGTCTTTGGGAACTTGAGGCTACTAAATCATTAACAGCTGCCAGAATGGAATAAACCAAATGTACTCGGAATTTAGTTCTTTGTAGTGGGGAAGTCTGTGGATTTCCTGGTTCAGCCCATCTGATGAGAAGAATAACTCACAAACATGTTAGCTGGTTGCACAGGATGAATAATTTTGCCAGAGACTATAAAATAGATGAGAAAATGAAGATAAATTAAAAAGACTGTGTGTCATCAGTTGAAAAAAAATTAAAGGCAATTAAAAAGGGAAATAATACTGCCAACAGTTAAGAGTTTCGTGAGATGCATTGGTTCTCAACCTCAGTGCTGTTGACATTTTGGGCCAGACAATTCTTTGTTGTGGGGTCTGCTCTGTGCATGGTTGGTTATTTAGCAGCATCTGTGGCTTCAACCCCCTGGATGCCAGTAACACCCTCTTCCTTGTTATGACAATCAAAAATGTCTCCTGACACCACCAAATACCCTCATGGGAGCACACTTGCCTCTGATTGAGGACCAGGGCTAGGCTACACAAGTAGCTCCCACTGTCACATTCCAGTTACATGCTCAAAATAGAATGGGATGAAGGGGCAGACTTATTGAGGACTTTGATTGATGAATGTGTTATTAGTATGGGGTTTTGTTGGGAACCATAATAATTAAGGTATAGCTTCTGCGTGTATATTGTACTGATGAAAAGTAGATCAAATTTTTTTCCAATCTAGAGTTAATTGAGTACAGTAGGAATACCAATAGTACAGGTGATTGTCTTCAATTTTTCCTTCTTCTGAAAAGCCTTGCAGAAGTATGTAAGACTAAACTAAATCTGTAGCAGAATCAAAATGGGAAGCCTTCTCTGTGTATGACTTTTAAATCCCACTACATAGTAGAGGCTACTTGGAGACCTACATAATTTCATAAGCTTGTCTTCATATAAAGACTGAGTGCCACTTGTGGCAAAAGCTGTTTGCGTTCACCAAACGTCTTTGTGATCCTCTACATGTCTCAGTCTCCCTTTGAGATTGGCTGAGGCCATGTAACTAGTTCTGCCCAGTGAAATGTGAGCTGAACGTAACTTCTGGGCTGAGGAAGTTAAAAGCCAATGCTTTCTTCCCTTATCACAGGCCTCACCAATATGTGTCCTACGAGCCTGAGATCTTACTGCTCCTTTCATTCTCTCCATTCTCTTTTTCTGAGATGTCTGCTGGTTGGCTGTTGGACTCTCTGAATTAATCTGCTTAATTCTCTTTTATTTCACGGCCAGCCCTTGATCTATTTTTCTGCTTTCTGGGACCCAGTGGAATAGAAGGTTCAGCTAAGATTCAAGTGCACAGGTATTACTATCAGTCGCCTTTCTTTGTGTTAATGATATTCTGGTGAGAAAGTCACATGCAAATGAAGTAAGCAGGTACTTGGGATGGTGTTACACATGATCTAGCAGGTTCTGCACGGGGGGAAGGTGAGGAGATTGTTTTTTTCTCCCAGTAAATTAAATGGCATGGGCTAAGACTTGGGAGGTGGGACAGCATAATGATTAAGAGCATGTCCTCTGCTGTCCAACTGCCTGGGTTTGAGTCCCAGTTTTGGTGTTTATTAGCTATATGATCTTTGGCAAGTTAATTAAACTATCTGAGCCTGATCTGTAAAATGGAGTTCATTATAGGTTATAAATATGCAATATGATAAGTAATTAAAATAGTACCTGTTCCATAGACATAATTCTTTTTCTTATTTTCCCTACCCCCCAGTTTTTTTTAAGTCCATCTTCCCTTAAAGGGATTCTTTTATTATAAGTGCTGTGTAGATGTTTGCTCTTACTATTAATTCAGTTGCAAATCAGAAGAACGTACTGCGCCTGTGAACTCAAATTTTTTTTAGTTCTATATAGCCTGTTGTATTTCTTAGTGTATATTCTTACAGTTAGTGTAAATAAGTTCAGTGTTTTCATAATTCCAGTGGCATCATCTTTTCTACCAGACATAGGACTGCTGCTAACATAAATGGTATTTATGGCCAAAGAGAAAGGTGTCTTTACGTCTGGGCAGTTACAGCTCCATGTAAGCTTGCCTATTTTGGCAAGCAGAGCATGTGCTGGATTACATCCCCAGGCACCCACTGGACAGGGTGCCTCCATGTGGTGTTCAGTCTGTATGACTGTACAAGGTTTCAATGGGCATTATTCCTGGAGGGAAACATGACCTGGGAATCCCAAATCTCATACTCCAGAGTGAATTCTGTCAGTTGGATTGTTTACTGGTAATTTTGTCACTTTCTGCCTTGATTTCTCTGCCATTCCCTTGCTGCTCCAAAATTTTGGGGGTGAGGTGTTGAACCCATCAATTGAAGGACTTAAGTATAAGAAGGAATCCACATACATGTTGCCAAGTTGTTAGGGTATGGGTGTTTTTAAACCCTTGAGATGAGATCTTGAAGGGATAGTGAGAAGATAAGAAGGCAGAGAATTGAGGGCTCAGCCCCAAGGAACTCAAACTTTCAGAGATCAGATAAAAGTATAGAAATGGACAAAGGAGACTGAGAAGGAGAGTTCACAAAAGGAGGAGGAAAATGAGGGTGAATTGACACATAGGTCAAGAGCAGAGAGAGATAAATCCAAAGCCTACACTTTATGAATAGCCGTGGGGGTTACTTGATTGTACAAATCATGATAGCAATTCGTGACTGACTGGAATAATGCCAGCATTTCTGTTTCCTCATGGATCAACCTCTTATCTCGTAGGTAAGAGCCTCTGATGCAGACTCAGGACTCTATGGCTTTATTGAATATTCTCTTTATGATGGATTCCAAAGCTATGAAGCACCTCAGGCATTCCAGATCCACCCACACGATGGGCAGATCTGTGTTTCTCAAGATATTGACAGAGAGAGGGATCCAGCCACCTACGATCTCTTGGTGAAAGCTAAGGATGGGGTAAGTCTTTATATATGAAAAATATCAAACATACTCAAAAGTGAACCACTGGGTACACATCAGAAAGTACCAATGGTTGCCAACAATTGGCCAATCTTGTTTCATAAATCACTACCTCTTTCCTTTGCTGGATTATTTTGAAGCAAATACCAAACATACCATTTCACCCATCAGTTTGGCAATATCTCTAACAATGGCTTTTAAAAAACAGGACTACAATAAGTTAACAATAATTTTTAAATAATGTGTTTCACTACCTCTTTCCTTTGCTGGATTATTTTGAAGCAAATACCAAACATACCATTTCACCCATCAGTTTGGCAATATCTCTAACAATGGCTTTTAAAAAACAGGACTACAATAAGTTAACAATAATTTTTAAATAATGTGTTAATACCCATCCCATTTAAAAATTTCTGGATTATCTAAAAATGTCTTTTAATAGTTGGTTTGTCTGAATCAAGATTTAAATAAGTCCAAAAATTGATCTGACTGCTATATCCCTTAAGTTTCAGTCTGTAACAGATTCCCCCACTACTGCCCCACGTATATTTTCTCTTATGGTATTTATTTTTGGTATATTTTCTCTTATGGTATTTATTTTTGGAAGAAATCAGGTCTTTGTAATTTTACACATCCTGAATGTGGCTGATTACATCCTTGGGATTCATTTAATGTGTTCTTTTATTATTTTTCCTATAAGCTGACATTTAGAACTAGAACTCTGATTAGTTTTGAGGATCTTATCCTAAACCCAGCCCTGGTGTGCTCGGGGGCTACTCTCACCCTGCCTGGCTCAGTGCAGGTTCTGTGAGTATGTAGGTATGGGCCAGGCAATGACTGCTGCTGGAGGGACAGTTTGTCATGCTGCCTGATTCCAGGAGCAGGGGCACAGCACACCAGGCGGGAGGTGGGGAGGTGGTGTGTGTGTGGCGCAAAGCACGAAGCACGGGGGCAGAGGGAGGGAAGGAAGGAAGGAGAACTGTGGGCAATTCCAAGGGAAGGAGTGGGAGATGCGGGGTGGGTGGGTTTGAGACTGCCGAGTTGGAATGGTTCCGGGGAGCTCGGGGGCCTAGAGGCTCCCTGGCTCTCTGGTGTCTGTCCCCTGGAGGTGACGTGTGCAGGTGAGTGGTGGCCGACGTTGCAAACACCCAGTAAAGGAGGTGGTTGGGATAATAAGCCTCTTTGGATTGGTTGGTTTACATTTGAAAAGCCCGTTTACCTAATCCTGGGAAATTCCTTCAGGATCCGCAAGGCCCCAGATGTCGAAGCATCAGAATACAAGAAAGAGAAGACATGGCGAATACACTGCCCTGGGGCCAAGGGCCCTCACAGAGGAGGGCCACGGGGCTCACCGGAACTCCCGGGATACTTAAGGCTTTAAACTTAGAAACTAAGAAACTTCTGCAGCTGTTTCATTTCACTTTGGCTTATTGGAAGTACCACCCAGTGGGACTAAGGGAACTCATTACTCAGGTTAACTTAGTCCCAGCCTAGCATCTTAAATCATCAAAGGAAGTGTTAGTCGTGGCATGGGCTACTGGCAGCACTTTCTTCTCCGTGTCAGGTCCCGTGTGTTCCTGTGCCAGCTTCAATCAGTGCTGCCTGCTCCCAGGCAGAGAGCCCATGTACTCTTCATCACGTGCCACTTACGAGGGCTCGTCTCCTCATCTTCCTCCCGGCTTTCTTCTCTGGGGTTGTCATCTCCTCCTTCCATGTCCTCTGCTTCATCTCCGTCCTCTTCTGGGTTTATCGCCCCTAGATGCTCTTGGGTGTTTGCATCCATCTCCACTAATGTCTTCTATTCCTCCGCCTTCTATTCCTCCGCCTTGTGGGGATCAAGGCAGTACAAGTCACTGAGGGTGTCCTGGCATTCCCCTCTGCCGTACATGTAGAGCAGCTTCACGGCCAGCATGGCAGTGGAGTAGACACCATATTCTCTTGGAGGGTCACTGGCTTTGTCAGACCGTCTTCCTCCTTCCTGATGCCTGTGGCAGGGAGCACTGGTTAGTGGCCATCGCAGTCCCATCCTCTCTGACCACCACGGTGGCCCCCTTTGGGGCTCCTGGGAGCTGGCTTCCCCTGCTTGTTATCATTCTCAGGCTCTGCTTTTCTTTACCTCGCCTATTCTCTGACCTAGGTGCCTTCAGCTGTCCACAAACCAGTGGCTCTTTGCAGTACTACAGAAGAACAGGTTGTTAAAGAAATCACCTGCCAGGCTCTCTTTCTCTTCCTCACTCACTGCAAAAAGCAGTGTCTAATGATCCAGGGCAGCAGCCACCAAAATGCCATATCTAGGGGTGAGCTATATTCCCCAAGGATTAATCTAAGTCTGCACCCATTTGACTGTTCTTCCTCCTCAGACTTTAACTGGAGTACATCTAAATGCAGGTTGTGTTTGTCCACCTTCGTTGACTGTTTCCAGTAGACGATTATGCTCCCCTGGGAAGTGATGGACACTTGGGAGCCCAATCTGGGTGTGGGCCTAGTCCTTCATGGGGGCCGCTTTCTCCATATGAATGTGTCTAGTTTAAAGGCATGCATGTTATTGTAACAGATGTAATTCTTTGCACTCTCCTGGAAGCCACTAAAAAGGATTAACTGTGTCTTCCAAGCTACCATCTGATAACCCACTTTGACCAAAGGACCCCTGTTGAATTCACTTCTCTCAGGTCTTGGTTGCCAAATGCGTGACCAGAGATCTGTGTGTGCATAGGATGAATTCACCTTTCTTAGGAAGAGCAGGGACAGACACATTCAGTGTTGGGGAAAGTGAAGACTCCCATGTCTCTACAATCTGAGTCTAGAAAAGAGCTATCAGAACTTCAAGGTCTCCTCCATGTGCAGTGCGTGGACATCTTCTTCTCCATTTCTGCAGCCATCTTCTTCTTGCCCATCCCTTGGGTCCCGGAGAGCCCGGGGATACCCAGGGAGGGAGCTCTATGTGCACCCCTCCTGGAAGGAGGTCCTCTCAGGAGTGGGCTTAGTGATGCACTTTTAAAAGCAAACTGTAGACTTTTAACAGCTTCCCAACCTTCTTATTTGGACCTGAAACTGCCTCCAGCATCCCTGTGTTTGCCTCAGATCATACGACGGCAAGCAACATAAACGTTTGTGTGAGGTGTGTGTATGCACGTACCTGTGTGTGTGTGTGTATGTTCTCCAGTGCACAGTGTTTATTCTGCTGCCTGCGTAACTTTCTTCTGTTATGAAGTGTGCATTCTACTGAGGGAAGTCTGCCTCTGTCTTAATTATTCTGTGCAATATCCACTGCAGCCTACATCCCTAATCAAAAAGGTTGGGAAAGATGAAGATAGCAGTGTTCCTAATGATTCTATAGATTGTTTCCTAAAAACAGCCTTGCTTGGATCTGAAGAATAAATGAACTCAAACAAGAAATTTGAGGTCCAAGATATAGGATTCTAGGCCATAGTGAGTATATTTAAAACAATGAACTCCACCTTGACAGAGACCTTTCACTTTACATAATTGCCTTGACAGTGTATGGTTTTTCTCAATCTTTTCTCTTTCTAAATATATGTTCTGAAAGCTCTTTGGAAGAAATTGCTGAGAACCCATATGATTGTGGTCAGAAAGAGATTTTTATCTGTCAGTAGAAGAATTTTTCTTATAACATACTTAGATGTTCTAGCTTATTTGCTGCTGTTCTAGTTCTATTTATCTTTGTGATGACTATCAATATTTTAAAAACTCATCACTTCTCCTGTTCTACTGGCAGTACTTCTGAAATCATCTGTTTTTGCTTCTACTGCTTCTATTTATCTCATGCAAAGCAGTCATGAGGATGCTATAAAATTACATAATGGAAACAAACAACTGGATTAAATTGGAAAGCAAGTGGTTTTTCACAATAAAGCTTTACAGTTTAATTATTCCATGTTTAGACATAATTCCTTGTTTCCTTTTCCTATTTGTTTTAACCAACTGTAACTCTTTTTAGTATATGTTTATTAACATTCTATTTCTATTTTTCTCATGACATCCTGAGGTCTGTAGCTGAAATATCTGTCTGAGATAAAGCTATTTCAACTGTCTCATGCCTCCAGGCTTAGGGAAGGGTTACGTCAGATAGCAATATAGAAAGCAGATTGACTTAGCCCTTCACTGTCATATATACATATATACATATGTACATATATACATGATGAAAGTTGGCTTTTGAAGTTGTGCCATATAGTTCAGGTGTAATGCCTATAGATCTCTAAAAGCAAATTTGCTGAGTAAAAAGGCACACTCATTTTTCCCCTTTTTCCGCCAGCTATTTTTGAGATATGATTGATAAATAAAACATATTTCTAAGGCATACAATGTGAATATGAAATAATTACTACAATCAAGCTGATTAATATATCCATCACCTCATATTGTAAGTGGTGAGAACACCAGATGTATTCAGCACATTTTAAGACTACAGTATAGTCACTTGAACTATGATCACCATGCTGTACATTATATCTCCAGACTGTGTTCATCAGCATAACTGATATTTAGAGCACACTCTTTTAATTTGAATAGATTATGTTACCTCACTTTCCAATATCCAAGTGCTTTTTCCTATCTTTCATTCATTTCACTGATTGCCACCCCCATACCCCAGTTTCAGGAATAAGCCATTGCCCAGTTGCCCAGGTTTTCTAGCTAAATTGTCTGATCCATATTTCAAACTGATTACCTGCCACTCTTTAATACATTACCAGGATTAATCCCTGAATATCTTGAATACCACTTTACCTCGTTGTTATCTCTAGAAATGTAAGCCTCCCCAGCCATCCACTATTACCCCTATTCTCATCCCTATCCTGTTATGTTCATCCTTTCATTTGAATCAATCCCACCCCTCCTCTTTGTCCTTCCAGACTTTTCTGCTGTGCCCTCTGGAACAAATGGTATGTCATTTAGCATCATGCACCATTTATATATTACGACATTATTGCACAATCAAGCTAGTGAATATATCCACCACCCACATTGTGAGTGAT